TGGATTTGTCCCTACAAAGGATGTAATTTTGCCTAAAAATCTGCTCATTCAGTTCAAATCCTTGAGAACCTATTCGTTTACCTGGGACCAAGAAACTGCTCTTTCCATGTTTTGAATGTTAGAAAGTTTATTTACCATAATGCTGTCCACACACATGGAGATTCTGCCCACTTACCCTCACAATTCATCTATCCCTCATGAAACCTTTAACTCAGCCCTTTCAGCCCAATATTTCATCTGGTCCATTTCCTTATGCACATAATCCTGTTCACTGAAGAATTGTTTCATTTGTGGACTATACATTTGCTACCAATTCGGTATCGGTGAACCGTCTATCATTTAAAATAAAGCTGTGTGTACTATGACTGGTAAAGTTTAACCCCTTAAGGACACATGCCATGTGTGACATGTCATGATTCCCTTTTATTCCAGAAGTTTGGTCCTTAAGGGGTTAAAGCCACATGAAACTAGTACAAGAGACTTGTGGGAATAATCTTGGACGATGTAGCTCTCCGAATGAAGCACTGAGTACGTCTTTATAAAATGTATTTCTGCATGTGTTTGGAAATAGCAGTCAGCCTACAAACACAGTTACGAGTTACACATCTCACATTATCTGATTTTGGGATACATTTCATCATCATTACAGAGATCACTATAAGAGAAGGTAAACGTAGTTTCCACAATCATTTATGTGACCGGATTTGCAGGAGTGAAAATGAGATTTCAGTGTTTACTCGATTGTTTATTCTTTTATTTGCAATTTCTTGTGGAAATAATAAATCCATTCATCCAGCGCACCTTGGAATGGTGATTATTTTAGGAGGCAAGCTGCTTGCAGTTTAGATTATCTCTGTACGTACCCACGTCTTTGAGTCACAGGAAATTGGCCTTTGTTTTAACAAATAATTTACCTGTCAACTATAGTAGAAAATGCACAGTATCAGAGGCTGTTATCAGTAGCGTTTCACAGCTTAACTAAACAGTGATAGGGGGCTAATTAAATCAGGCTCTTTCTTGGCAACCATAACAAGAATTTCACTTTTAAATGAAAGAATATTTATATTTCACGCACTTTATTTTGTAAACTTGATTTTTACTCTAATGGAAGAGGACGTCTGTGTGTTACTATCTCTTAAAAACTCCTATGGCATTGAATGTTTGAATGTGCTCTCCCCCAATCACCTCCAAAGTGCCCCCTTATAAATGTGTTCATAGTAATTGATTGGTTGTGAAAAGGAGATGATCTATATCTTCTTTTGTTGCACTATTGACATGGCCAGTAATTGTGGCACGGCTTGCTTTCTTTCCTAAACAGTTTTTCAGTTCCTTAATAGGCAGAGCAGGATTTGCCAGTTATCAGAGTAGGCAGCTGCCTACAGGCATTGGTCTGCCATTGGTGCTGAACCTGATTACAAAAAAAATTAAAATGTATTTTCCAGAGAGAAGGAGGTTTTCCTGATTCTCCGGTGCATCCTCCAAATTATGGAGCAAAGTAGTGGTACACTTGTTGACTTCAGAAGAGATTCCTGAATTGTATTTATTTTCTTATATCTTTCTCTTCCTTTCTCTAGTTTTTATTTGTTTTCTCTATGCTAACACTTTTCTGTATTCTTTCCTCTTTTGTTTTCCAGTTATGCTCCATTTCTCCTGATTCAGCTGAATGATAAGGCACGAAAAAGTCTTGCTTAGTGTTGGCCTTTACATGTGGTCAGAGAAATTCCATTGGAAACCATCTGGTTTTACTCCTGACATGTCCCTAGATTCAAAATGTTCTTTGGTGTAGTTTAGAAATATATATGAGGGTAATTTCATTCTGCTGTTTTATTCTTGAAGCGTAATACCATATTTACAGATCTCTACCTACTAATCATGTTATCACACTGCGTCTACTTACCTGGCTTCTCTTATAAGAATGGCCCATCGCCTACGCTCAGCAGGGGTGACCTATGGATGGGGGATGCCAAGGGCCCTTTTCTTCACTCACAGCGGGACTTCCCACAAACTCATCGCAGGTGCCGAAGCACATACAATCTTGTCATCGCTGGGCAGCGCGGATTTGTTGGCCGGCACTTCTGACTTACACGCCACTCCAACATGGGACCCAGCTACTGTAGTACCATTCATGCCAAGGACGGAGCGGAAGAACCCATCAGCCACTTGACTAATGCTGGTAATAAACTAACCTCTCAACATTGGTAGGAAGCCACTCTGAATCCTCTTAAGATACTTTGTTTAATTTTTTTTTGTTCTTTTTAACAAAAACAAAAAACAAAGGGAAAAAAAGAAAAACAAAAAAGCAATAGGGAAGAAAAAAAAGGGACAGAAATGTATTTATTTTTTCATTGTTTTATTTTTGCCAGGTTCTGTCGCTCTGAAATGCTTACTCACTCTGTTTCAGGAAAGCCTTTTAGGCCGCTGTTATATGGCCAAACCCAACGATAGGATGTCCGCAATGCAGGTCTGCTCCCACATGTGTACTTGGAATACCATCAACAAGGACTCCTCTCCCCCCACCCGACACCCCCTTAGTTAGAGGTACTGCCCTTCTGGAGTAGGCTATAATGCTCACACATACACCACACCTTCTATTGAAGGGAAATGCTAGCTCTCTTCTCATGGTATCACTTATTCCATTTTACCTCTTCCGAGATACACTTGCTCTTAATTTGTTAATTGTTATAAGTCCAGTATAAATACCCCAACGTTTTTTTGCCTAACTCAGATCACACTTACATTGTACCTTACCCACCTAGAATAAGACACCGGGAACTTACAAAAGTGTCTCTGCTCCACCATTTTTCGCCATGTCATCTAGGACCAAGTTCGTGATCAATATATATATATATATATATATATATATATATATATATATAAAAGTGCAGAAACTCAGCAACACTGTATGTTAACAACTGTACAATGTATTTCAATGCATAAATGTGTTTAATGTACACATTATCTACTCAATGCACACAAAAATAAAGAATAATAAAAAAAAAATAGACCTGTACCTATCCTTAGCTCATACTCATACTTGTAATTCAATTAAAGAAGTCTGTAGGGCTGCACTGTTCCTATGGAACTCCCTTCCTTGCTCGATTAGATGCTCCTCAATTCTTAATTCCTTTAAAAAAAAAAAAAATCCCAAAAAACTTCAATAAGGCATATCAGCTAAACTGGTAACTCTCCCACTAACCCACTCTGCTTCATCCTCCAAATGTGTCGTCTAATAAATAGGATTTTATTGTAAACTCTCCTCGCATGAAATACATTTTAACCTTAATTTTTGTGTATTTATACATTTTTCCCTTTAGAATGTAAGCTCATGTGGACAGTGCTGTGGAGAATGTTGTCACTTTATAAATGACAATGCTTTGCTGCAAATCATGGAGTAAGTAACAGAAAACTGGATTTATTGGTGGTAGGTAGTGTGTCTGAGAATCCTGCACCAACAGGAATCAGAGATGTAAATCCAGCCCTGCAGTGGGATCACAAATCTCTGTGTTTATTACTTGGCAATAGCTAAATCTTTAACACAAGCTTAAGACAGCATGTTTTCTTAACAGAGTACACTCAGTCAAACGTAATGGTGTATTGACTAAACAGTAAATAACCGTGAAATGACACATTTATTGTCCATTTTAAAGGAAACTCATACATGTTCTAACACTACTATTTTGGACTAAATATAACTATTCACTTATTTTACTCTTTTAAACCTTGAAACAAAGGGGAGATGAGTAGCGCATACATTTTCCTTTAGATTTTGTATTTAGGAGCTTGGCAACGCATTTGGACAATAATTCCCTGTGCCCTTCTGGCAGCAACAACCTTTGGATATGCCAATGATGAAACACACCATCAAATTCTAGATTTTAAAAACTCGTCCCCTGGCTTTGATGCCACCCAAAATCTATTATTTCTCCTTTCTTCTAGCAGCCTTGGTTTGAATAGTCAAGGTGTCTATAGTAAATAACTGTGCATATAGCCCTTTGAAGTCTATTTGAAGCTCTTTGACTGGATAAGGTACAAAGGTTGTATTTGTCGTAGGCAGAGTTATTTAATATTGTGTATTTATTCTGTACATGAATTACTGAAGGCTCACCGCTTGCTCCTTTTAACAAGTTTGTTTTACACATTAGAAGAAATATTGCAGCAGACTGGAATGTATTGGATCACCTCTCTGAAGGCTTTGTCTGCTGTTTGTTTAAGAAATAAGCTGGAAGATTATAGTGGATATTTTCTGCTTAAATCATTCCTGCTTCTCTACAAATCAAGGATTCCATTTTTAAAGCTAATTCAATGTATGTCGTGGAAGATAGCATGTTACAGACACTCATATGTTTAGCTTCAGACATTAATGGAATTCTCGGTCATGTGACTTTAATTACTTATTTTTTACAGGTTTCATCAAAATTAAATCGACTGCAAAATGGCACAAGTCAGGTCAACAACTGGATGATGGACCTCACATGACCAAAAGTTTGATTTTGGGGTAGTGGCTGGTGGCCTGGCAATATTGTTCTTTTTTTAGATCGGTTCATGACCTGTTGACAGCTGTTTATATAGTGACGTTTTTTAGAATAAGAGCAAAGTGTTTTATTTACAGAAACTGATAGAGGTATGTATTCATGCACTGCATTCAGTTACACACTACTGTAATACACTCACACCTCACATATTACTGGGAGTTTATTGCTTCGGAGCTCTGTGATACACACTGTACATTACGGTAACATGGAGTTCTGTGATATTCATACACTACTCATTTCTGTAGTTTTTTTTTTGTTTTGTTATTTACAGAGCTGTAAGATACTTTTCTTTGACCCATTGATTTTTGTATTAGTGTTATTAGTATTACGGAGCTCTGTGTCATTTCTATAATGTATATAGTTTCGGAGCCTGTGGACACATTTGTACAAAACTGCACACTCTAGTGTGTTTTTTTTAAATTATTATTTTATTTTATTTAAAGATAGACTTAGAAAATCAGATATTTCTCTGTTTTAAAAATTCAACAATTTGCATTGGAAAACAGTACATTCAGAAAAAGACAACAAAACACAAATTCTGGTGTCCAAAATCACAAACAAAATCACAAACGTGCCAATACAAAAGGGATTCCTTCTTTCAGTTACAGAGAAATTCAGTTAAAAACTGCACAACATTAGGTCCAAGCGATCGAAACCCTCTAAGGAGGGAGAGAGAAAGTATAAGGGCTTTTCCGGTCTTTATTCGCACAATAGTGTCACAAGGAATTTTAATGATCACCTTTACAATCTTTCAAACACAAAGAAGAAAGAAATGGAAACATTATCCAGTTAAAAAACACACGGCAAAAAAATGCATGAAACATGCAAGAACAGCGCAGAAGAACATGTAGACATGCACATAAAATATTTGTTTAGAAGTTGCATTGTTCGTCCGGTTTAAACAGTCCTTAATTCAAACAGGAGCTCTGATGCTCTGAAGTTTATGGAGAATAAAAGCTACCTTTGGAAAATAAATCTTCCATTGAAATACTGTTCCCACCTGGATAGCTCAGACTATAAATAAACCTGAGCCAACGCTATTACCAAATAAGATTTTGTTCAGAATCAATGAGTCACTTGAAGAATTTAAACAGTCAAATTGTATCTAACATGGTGGCATTGTATAGATTATGTAGTGTAAAGCCCTATTGCTGTCCTGTGTACAGAGAATTTTGGATCCAGTATTGGGAGACATATAAAGTACAGTGCTGGTCGTGCCGTGAGTGGCACATACATAGCTTTCTATGACTGGGGAACAAACTAACTTTAGCGTACATACCAGGTGGTAAAGCCAGTGTAAGACTAGCTTTACATTTACAAATCTACTTGTACTGGATCAAAATATAGATTCATTTATCCTTCATGTAACTAATATTTAAACTCTGCATTTAGACTCTAAAAGTCAAATTTATTTTGTGTCAAGCACCGAATATTACAGATTCTTTTTTTAGGTGCAGTTGGAGTATTTTTTTTTACCTGGGATTGTCTAAATTCTAGTTAGTAAATCAATCCAGAGATCCAAAGTACTAAATTTAAATTTGGCCAACTTTACAGAGGTTGTTCATTATAAATGTTTTGACTTGTATCGGTCTGTCATGGAAATGAATTGCCCATTCAAATTAGTTTGCAGAATAGAAAATGCTGACAATATATATATATATATATATAGTTTATTTCTGATCCCAAACTTGCTATGTCTATGAATAAAATAAGCAATAAAATATTCCCTTGTGAAGATGTTCAACACTTTAAAATACCTCTACCATTTTTATTGGTCTAAATTGCACCCGAAGGATAATCTCCTTGTTAAAACAAAAACGGTTACCCTGAATACTTTAAATCTTACAACACACGTAACTAATCAGATTTTTTTTTAATATAATGCCTTAGTTTAAATCTGTTCTTGGGAAAAAAAGATCAATGCATGAAAAAATAGTTCTTCAACCTCTGTGGCTTTAAAAATGTGGTTACACAGCTATACCCCTCCCATTCCCTCTCAAAAAACCCACCACAAAACCTGCATACAGTATATCTCAGCAGCTTTATAAAACTAGGCAATGCCTTCAAGTTTCAAAAATAGTTCTCTGGTTTTGGTGCAGATAATCATAACATGTAAAATATATTATATACACAAGAGCAGACAAAATAATTATGATACATATGGTATTTATATATAAATAGTCTATTGCATATGTATTGACAAAGTACAACAATTACAATTAACAAAACATCTAACTTACTATATATAAGAAAGGCATAAATTAGCAGGGATATCCCTAGGCTTTGTATAACCAATAAAACATTCCGGTCCTAAAGCTCAGCAGTCTTGATAACAGGCCAATTGACGTGTTCGTGGGCCCCGAGGACAAAGACAGTGTGATTTGTTTTTGGTAAAATGTGCAAGTATTGTCCATATCACATCTTAATAAATTAACAAACAATTTTAATTTAACCCAACAAAATAAAAATGTAACATTGCAGTTGACAGATCTTTGACAAGAAAGTATAAAACACATCACCCATTTGTTACAACCACAATGGACAACATGTTTTGGTAATTAGAATATGTCAATCAAAAACCTAAATGACAAAGTCACAAAAGGGAACACTTCATTTTAGGGCATTGCTGGTGCTATTAACTAGGTGGAATGGGATAAATGTTCTGATTATAGCTCCATCACCTGCCCTGCTTACAAATACACATAGTACATCCATCAAAAGAGGAATAACAACTGCTAGGATTTAATAACATAACATAGCCGTGTCAGAAAGACCTTGAACACGCTTATCCATTGTACCACATGCTATACTACTGAAAATAAATAAATAAATAAAATGCAGAACATAGAAGGACAATGATTGTAAATTAAATAAACTGAAGGAACAATTTCCCATACTTCCCAACGTTCAAGATTTCATCAGTTTTTCAGCAGTCTTTGAATACGTCGACCTTCTGTTAATGCAGATAGCTAGGCCATGCGTAACAGTAATTAGATTGCATTTGAAACATGCTGCATTTTAGCACAATAAGCATAATAGGCTATCCCCTCCATTTCAGCTGGTGTTTTGAAGAGGTGGGGAAAGACAGGTTAGTTGGGAGGACATGGAGCGGGTATATAGAGGGCTGGGAGAGAGTGAACATGGGGGAGGTATGGGATTCTAGACTGAAGATTTCTTGAATGTCAGCATTTTTCGAATGCAACTTAAATCTGCAGTTTTTATTTAAGCTTTTTGCACCATATTTATGAAGCTGAGCTGGAGGAATTGTAAGGGTATTTATTTGGTGCAATCCACACTAATATCCCATTAGTTCCCATCTTTATTGTGTTCAGTTTAGTGGCAGAATGGAACAACTCTAGGCATTTTGACTTTTGTTGTATATTCTACTGTTACACAAGTCACTGCCCATCCTCATCATGTACTTCTCACAATTATGGGGATGTTTTTAAATCCAAATTTGTATCTCAATCATTGTCCTTATCAAAATCCAGTGAGCAGCCTTAGGGTCAAAACATTGTAACAAATGTATTGCAATTAAATACCCTTTACCCTTCCTTCCCACCCATGTTTGTCTCCATCTTGTAACTCGCATCCATCCCAAGCTACCACTTCCATATATCAATATTATCTCTTGGTCACTCTCTGACCCCCATCTCAATATCCCTCTTTTCAGAGAGCACATGTGTCAGGTAACTGGAAACAATGTTCCAAAACAAAGGAGACTGAGCCTTTACTGAAATTAATAAATACCAGAAACAGGCATTTGTTATAGTGGAATATGTGAGAGTATAAAGGGACGCTATAGTCACCCAGACCACTTCATTTCAGTGAAAAGTCCTGGGTGGTTATGTCATTGTCATCCTGCAGTGTTTACATGAAAGGGTTAAATCCACCTCTAGTTCCTGTCTTTCTTCCTCCTCCTGACCGAGTATAATTCTGAGAATCTGCGGAGAGCAGCGTTTGGTCGGAGCGCAGCATTTTGCCGCACAACCGAGTTTTACTTCAAAAACAAACTTGAGATGAAGTGCTTTGGGTGACTTTAGCGCCCCTTTAATGTGCCTCTGACACCTTCCACTTTTTGCAAAAATATAGTAAGCTTAAACAATTAGCTGTAGTTCAGGTATAAAACAAACAATATTTCCTGCTCATTCTAGAAACAGAAGCCACATGTAAATATATTAGCTATATATAATTTGACTTTGTAAAATGTGGGCGACATCCTTGCATATGTCTGTCAGTGTATGAGAATGCATTGCAGGCACAGACAGGTCATAGGGCTCAGTGCTCTAAACGGTGCTATAACTGAGCTATAAGTGAAAGGGACTGCTGGTGTTTCCGTGAGCAGACCTTCTTAGAACTCTAGCAACATTTAGTACACTGGGCTGTAAATGCTTCAATACAATATATTTTTACCATAGCAGCATGTTCTTGGTAAATACAAATATTTATACCAGGTAATAAATATGCAAAAGGAAAAACACCAATGGTGCATGTAAGGCGGAATTCAAATCCTAACAGTCACATGCCGTAAGAGAGTGTGTAATCTGAATGAGAACCATGTCTAGATATACAGTGAATGTATCTTTGTCTTTCAATATTGCAGCAGTTGACCAGCAACTGCCAAATCTCTGAATGTTATATTTGTGCATCAAAACACCATTGGCTTTGAAATGTTGCCTGTTTCTGTGAAGGGTTCCGGTTTACAGTTAAACCCAGGTTCTCACTTTGTTGTGTAACCACACATTGCCAAACGGGTACATTTAGAACCGTCGGAGGTTAACACACTGACGCACAGTTTACACCATTGCAGAAAGTGCAGTCAAGTTTAGTGTGTCCAAAATCACGCTGTGTGGCTTAGGAAGTACTAAATTAAAATGTAATTTCAATTTTCATAGTCAAGAACCATTGACAGCATCAAGTTTTGATTGCAGAAGTTACACAATAGTATGGGAGCTTTTCACAAATACTGAAGCGAATTGTTCCTGTAGTTTTTTTTTTTGGAACATGTGCTGATGTGCAAAGCGCAAATTACACTCCCCTGTCCCAGCAGTTTGGGCAGAGTACATTTAATTAATTTCACCTCCAAGCTCAATTGGAGCACTGATAATATTAGGATTTCCAAATATTCATGTGGAATGTCATCAGAGAGCAGTAGTGTCCTCTTATGCTGACAATTGAAAACCGCATCAAAACCAACACATTTGAGAGCAACTTATGTATTCTGCCTGACATGTTTTTGGTTTTGGATTTCATCCTAGCATATTTACAGTCTATTTTAGGGGTCCCCAACCCCTGGTCCGTGGACCAGCACCGGTCCGCAGCCTCTGGTCAGCTAGGCTGTGCGCTGTGAAGAGACTCTGACTGATTCACCCCTGCGCCGGCTACTTTATGAAGCCGGTTACTTTATGAACCCCCCCCAACCTTCTGGGCCATGAAAATTGTTTGTTCAATGGAAACGGTACACGGTGCCAAAAAGGTTGGGGACCACTGGTGTCCCTGCAAGGGGGGCGCTGGTGTCTGGGTGTAGAAGGAGCAGGCCATAGTAGCAAATTGCGTTACTAACACCGCCCAATAGGGCAGAATTGACAGGTAGCCAGCCCCTAGAGGTGTGTTCATCCTGCAATCAAACATTGCCATATCTTCTAAACAGCAGTGTTTTGCAAGGCAGGGTCAAAACTAAAAGGGCCACTGCACCCAGACCGCTTTATTGAGATGAACAAGTCTGGGTGCCTTTAGTGGTCCTTGAATGACCAAGCCTTCTTTATAGAGAGGATTGTGTTTGAGATTGGTCAACAATAAAATGTGCAGTCTGGATCCTTAGCATGAGAATCTATCCCTTTGGTAGTGCTTTGCCAAAGTAAATTTTTTAATTTTCCTGTGTGCTTGCCCTATTTTTTTTATTTTTTTTTTACTATGTAGAGCTCATTGGCTGAGAGTGATCAGCTGACTCTCTCAGCCCATGAGCTTCTGACCCTCCATATGAAGTAGTTGAGGCAGGGAGCGGCACCTGACATAAACCAGGTAAGAAATTAAACCATTCTAAAATGATTTGACTCCTTACAGTGGCAATGTACTGGTTATAACGTTTGGACTGTACCTATTACTATAAAAGTCAGTAAAACTTGTACAAATTAAAAAAAAAACTTGATAGCTAGGAGCAGCCATTTAATTTGAATCCGACTAAAGCTTGAGTAACTTGAATGATATTTTGCTCGTTAAAAATATCACAAAAAGCCTTGTTTATTTGTAGAGTGATGGGATACTAAGAAGATCCTATGGATCGCTGTATATAGAGCACTATATAAGCTTTGTAATCCTCAAGCTGTGCAGAGTGCCGATATACTGACGGCAGCATTGCTGAGCTGTTACTCTGAGCACATCTATGGCACATAAGACAATTACAACTGTGTTCATCACGTGGAAGGGAATCTAGATTATTTTAAACTATTTAATTTAGTATACATACTGATGGAAATGTTGGTTAAATTGTGGCTGACATTCCATTTAAAATGACTTCCTATCAATATTACATTGAACTCCTGATAAAGTATTTTGCTTAAGGTAACATAGCAAACATATATAGAATCTCTGAACAAACTGTTTGTGGTATTGTATTATTTTATAGTTTAATTATACTGCAGGCTCCTGCAGTTATTTGTCTTTACAAGTAATACGTTGGTGACAGAGCCTTCAGTGAACGCAGCTATTGTGCTTTTGGCACAAAGAATGGAGCGTCTTGTGAAGGATTGTGGCCATTCACTGTAGCGTGCTTATATATACTAAGAACAGACAGAAGTGTTGGGGTTTGTAAATATTATCTTTACAATAAAGGCACATGTGATAAGAGATGAAGTCAGATATGTGTTGCTCCAATGTCTCACTTTAGGACAAAAGTCATTCAGATTGGCTTCCAGGGTTAACAAAACAAACACAGGCTGACTCCGCTGTGGCTGGAATGAAATACTTCAAAAGGAATCACTGGGATGAGTAAATTGAATAAATAAAAGCCTGTCAAAGGATTGCAAATGACAGAGCTGGAGGCTTGTCATGTATACAGGCTGTGCTACACATGAAGGGATCATGCATACTCCATTATAAGAAATGCTTGTCATTTTAATTTATAGGAAAACTTACTAAAAAAATGTTTGACGCAATGCTGCCACCTGAAACTGTTTTATTCACATTAATTGCTATGGTACAAATGTGTATTAATAGTTCAGCAATTTTTATGCCAAATATATTTTAATTTATATCTCTTCTCTAATGTGTTGATAATTCCCACTTGCCATCTTACATCCTGCTTACGACTGGTAACTTTAAAGAGAACAGGACATGAATTGAGTTTCTTTGTAGGGAATGCTATTCCATTCCGACATTTTGCAACCAAATTATTAACCGTTTTATAATACAAGGAGCTGCCATTTATGCGTCTCCCTACATTCCATTACGTCGGTCTGCCACAGTTTGTAACAATTTCAGCATCTATAATACACCGTCTTCTTACCATACAAGTACTTGTATGGAATGTGTAGACCATAGCACAGTTCACAGATTTCCTTATTAGTTTAATACTTGTAGCTTAATTCATGAAACATAATTTAGATGTTTGGTAAGGTAACCCAAGTCTACGCAAGAAGGATGTATGGGATAGGTTCAATGCTCCCTTTGAGAACAGAGAGAGGGGCATGGTTGGTTTTAGATATAGTAAGAATTCAGAGCAGAATTTGCAACTTCTGAAAATTATTCACAATTCAGGAACATCAAAATTGAGTATATTTTGCATTATATGTTTTTAATTTATTTTAGGAGAATATATAACAGGGAACTGTTATATTCTTTCTAGGTAGGATAATTGTTATTTATTTTATCTCTACCACCTCTTGCTCACCTCCCTTTTTGGATCCATCTCAGGGGGAGTTCTCAGCTGCTCATCCCTTTCACAATATATACAATTATATAGATATATATGATAGAGAAATAAAATCCCAGTATGTGCATTGTTAGAGACGTGAAAATCCTCCACTTGATCTGTAGCTATTTATATAACGGTGGGGTGTCTTTATTATCACTTTGTTCAGTAGACGATGGCTCTTCTAGGATTGAAGATGCTAATATGGGAATTTGAAGAATCCCTTCCAATCTTGTAGATGTCTGTTATTCTAGTTTAATCCTCACTGACTGTGACTCTCAGACAGATCCCATTGGTACTATGGTATCACAATATACATCTCAGTATGGTATCACATATACATCTCACAATATACATCTCAAACTGTCTGCCCAAAATTCACTCATTGAAGATAGTAATTGAGTAGTTTGGCTGCAAACAGGTATAACGGGCTTCCCTGCTAAAGGTTTTTCCATATGGAAAAATATGAGCTGAGATTAGCAGAAATATTTTCATGTAAATAATCTATTGCTAGGCATGCCAATCAGCTCCTGTGTATTAAAGCAGCATTGTCATCATCTGGGACAATTTGCAAAGACTCCCCGGAAAGTTTTGTCGCCGCTGAAGGTACGGTGGCCAAAGTGGGGGCAGGGGGGAAATTTACTCAGTTAACCCGGTCAATCGCTGGCGCCGCCATCTTCCTCTGTCTGCTACTCATCAGCTAGCCGACAACACTGCTGTTCTCTTTTGCATCCTCAAGAGTACAGCACTGAGGTCTAAGGAGGGTTCTGCGAGAAAGTGTGATCCACCATAGACATAGCCAATTCCCTGCAGCCGCCACCATTGATGAAGCCACTGGTGACACCTGTCGAGGTTGACACTCCAGCTCCATCCGGAGTTTAAGAAAGTCAGGCTGAAGAGAAATACAGTAGTCCCTGCTTTATCTCTGTATATCTCTTGACTGGGTTGGAATTTCAAAATTCCATCACAGTCAAAATGACTATATTAGAAAGATTCTATCTTTATGAAATACTAATTTTGTGGATTGTGCGTGTGACAGTGCTGCTTTGAAGGCACCCCATTTAGTGATATAGTATTTAGACGGAATTGCCACACACCGAGACTAATCTCGGGGGTTCATGCATTATTTAATCTTTGGCAGGGAAGAGAACAAAGTTCCCACAACCTTAATGTATTTGGCATACACACTCTCCCTCTAACATCTAATCATCCTGCTATGAGCCTGAAGGGAAAACCAGTCCCTCATTCATTTGACTTTTTTTAAAGTTATTCATTTGTACCACAATTAGTAACTTACTTAGAAAGTATAGAGAATGCTGATACACTCCTAGTTTTACTAATTGTACAGTGGATATTTACGTGCGGGTGCCAGGGACAGATTGTAGTTTTCATATCCCAGAAATAGCAACACTCCGTCTTCTCTGCAATGAATTGTAAATATTCTTAAACTTTATTTAAAGATCCCTAACTATTTTTTCACACAGTGCTTCATATTCTAAAAAAGTACATGTGATTGGATAGGTTTCTATAATGTCTACCTGATTCAGCCTCTGTTAGTCCTTAAAACTAGCAGCCAATATTGGTTTATCCTGTGCATGCAATGTTAAAATGACTTTCTCAAATCAGACTGTGAAACGTTTAATACCAAGGTTTATGTTAGGTGCCAAAACTTTACCATCCCAGATGTTGTAGAACTGCATATCTTACGCTGCAAACACCTCCTTGTTTTCATACATCTGGTATATTTACCAAGATAAAAGGATTTTTATTAGCCTTTGTCCCATGAAACTCATTTTGAGTTGGAACATAATTTTAGACAAACAAAAAAGGAAATAAAATAATAATAAAAACAAAAAACCTCTGCTTCAACAGACTTCGATGTCTGGAGCAGAAATACTATATTAAAATATATATTTTTTTTTACATGTGTCTGCTAACAAACAGGCTTGTTTTCAGGAAGTTGAAAGTAAATGTTAACGCCATATTCTGCCCTATATTAGGGGCAGAATAAACAGTACCATACCTTCCAACAAAGGGAGTTATGGATGCAGAATGCAAGGGTTGGCAGGCCACTAGAGGGCAGCAATGAGTTCAACTTGTCAGTCTGGGGTGCATGTAAGGGCTCAGTAGTACCTTGAGGTTACATAGTTGAAGTTTATCTGCTGATGGGGGACATTTGTCTGATGTCCGCAAATGCGAGACAAGAGGAAACAAACCTGTGATGTTGGGACAGGACCCAGAATTTGGGACTGTTGAAAGGCACACAGTGCGTTCATCCAACTTCCTTAAAACTAGACAAGTTTGACAAGTCTGTATGATACTTCCACGTATGTATTCATATTAACTTTGTTTATAAGAAACTGCACTGGGAAAACACTATTCTACCTCCATGCCTGTGTACTGTGATTAAAAGTGCATTATATCGAGTTATTACATAAATAATACTGCCATGTTTTACGAATTGAATTCATTACTGATCTTTCTTTTGATACCAATAATTGAATTTTTGGAATGCTTACTAAAACAAAACTAACAAAAAAAGGACTCCAAAACCAACCCTTGAAATGATTCTGTTTGGTAATGAATTGCATGTAACAGACAGCAGCATGATGGATTAATGCGCACCAATAATTCTTGCTGCATAGAGCTTGATTTTTCTTGTTGAATTAAAATATTTTTTTTTCTTTAGGATATAAAAATAGAAACCATTTTTTTGTGAGCTACATACAGTCCATATAAAAGTGCTTCCTTGTGGCTGGATTGTACAGCACTGCAGAATTTGTTGGCGCTTTATAAGTAATAATAATAATTTTGTAAACAAGTTCAAACTGTAGTGAAGGCATTAGTTGGTTTACGTGCTGACCTAACACCTTTTTGTTTGACTTTTGATTCATTTGAACAGACATTCATTTCACTTTTGATTCTAACCCGGTGTATAAAATACTGTACACAGACCACACAGTCCATTTTCTCTGACATATTATCCTCCTTCTGCCTTTCCACTAGGGCTGTACACCACAACATAAGGTTTGCAAAGGGGTAAGTACCATGTTCGTATGTAAAAAGAAATTGCTACTGGCAGGGAATTTGGGGAATTGTTCTCCAACTCTAGCTGGAAGGCCAAGTTTAGACACCAACTTTAGGGACTACTACTTCCTCAATGCTAGTAAAAGGGTTTTGCATATGTATAAAGATCTCAGCATTTTAATAACCTGATTACTTGGTCACTAATTGTCCTTAAATATCTCAGGTTTACATAGTGCATCAGAATCAGAAAGTGGCAAAGAGCAGTGCAAAGTATTAAGTAAAAAAAAAAAAAAGAGTAATTTAAAAAAAGTAATTAATAACTTTTCTTGCAGCAGAGATTAATACAGGCTACACTACAAAGCTGTAATAGGCATAGTCTTTTAGTTTAAACAATGTTGGTGATTTTATTCCTTCTCCACTTTGAATTAGTGCCTGTCCGTACCCCTCCTCTAATGGATTGTGCATCAGGCTGCTGCCAGTGATCCAAACAGTTAGACAGGCCAATTGCTGTCTGTAACATACTTGGGAACCTGCAGCTCATACTTGAAGGAGAACTATTAACCAACAGAACCCCTTCATGTCTTTTACCCAAGAGAAATATGGTCGTTACAGCTTGAAATGTAATGTGTATTAATTTATGATGCAAAATATAAAAAGTTATTTTTTCTAATAATAGTTCCATTTTAAGTGAAAATTAATTACTGTATTCCGCGATCTGCAAAATAGCGAGATACAATTTCATAATGGTTTCCTTTTAAGAAATGAGCGATCCCATCTGCCAGTGTTTTACGTTTAGAAACGAAGAATATAATGTAGTATCTTTTATAAGGACTCCAAGATTAGTCGAAATGCCCTGTCTATTGTATTACATTATGCAAATAAAATGTTTACGCAGAGGCTCCCTGTGAAAAGATTTAACAGTACTATTAATGAAGTGATGGAATTTACACCCACCTTAGTGCACGATCGTACTCCACAGCACAGCGAGCTATTAAGGTTGATGCATTCAATCATGCATTAGGAAATTTATAATACCTATGGACAAAGGCATATGCAAAAACACCAGCATGACATAAGATGACAATGTAAAGTAGACAAATGATTTGCTGAATGGAGTGATCTATTCATTGTCTTATTTCTACCTCTGTCCTATATCATCATAATGTGCTACTGCACACTTCTGCGAGCTGCAAGTTGGTCTTCTCGTCAGGTTCCATATCTTGTCCTGATAGAACATGCATGCTGGGTTCCTTGGCAGATAGCTGTGATCCCTCTATGCCCACAGTCCACGTTTTCCTCTCCACTTCTGGCAGAGTTTGTTTGTAAGGCTCTACATAAATTCTGCGCACATTCATTTTGGATTCCTGGTACTTTGTTTTGCCCTCTTCGGGCAGGCTAGAAGCATGAGGTAAAAAAGTACTGCGGGGGATATCTACTGGAATGGTTATGTGTTCACCAGAGGTAGGCTCTTCATGAAAATCCACCGCTCGAGACATGTGCTGAGTATAGATTCCTTCAGATAAAGACACAGATTGGGATTCACTGTGGACCCGCAGCCAGCGGTGATGCCGACTAAAGTAGTTGCAATGTTGATGCTTCCCTGACTTCTTTTTCCCTAAAAGGCCTAAGTGTTGCTTTGAGTTGGATGATTTGTCCATGGTCTTTGAAGGAAAACCCATCACAGAGAGGTTGTCCATGTGCCTTGTGCAGTACTCTGTATTGGAGTCAAAATTGGTGCACTCTTCCTTCAAGGTCAAACAGGGCTTCATGTCGTGCACCTGGAGGACATCAGGGGCACTGCCACTTAGACCAGACATTGCTTGCTGAGATATGTCCGTAGCAGATGAATAAACTAAATCCAACTCCCTTGGGCTTAATGCATCACTGGAATCATAGTCGCTGTCTGTTGGTAGAAATACTTCAGAGCAGCCTTCTTCATCAGAGTATGTTTGTGAATCTGTATAAGAAATAACAAAACTATTTAAGGGACATTGCTATAAACTAGAGATATTCTGAATGCACAGATAATGGTGGGAATTATCACCAGAACAAATCCAGTAAAAAATAAAAATGCTACAGGAAACTGTATTTTCATGAAATGCATGAGTATCTTGAATGAATACTCAATTTAGTTCTCCTCCTTCCTACTCTGTGTATAAAACATGTAAATATAGTGGGGCATTGACCAATAGCTGGGCAAAAAATATATTTTAAAATAGCCTTTTATCCTAATCTATACATTTGCTAGAAAAACTACTAGCACAATGTATAGATAAATTCATATTCTCAATTTAACCCCTTAAGGACGGAGGGCGTTCTATGCCGTCCTTAGGGAACCGGCTCTAAATGCTGGAGGGTGGCATAGAACGCCCAAACTGTCCTTTCTACTTACCTGGTCGCGGCGATCGCGGTCTGGGGACTTACCTGGGAACCCAGGGAGTCCCCCTCCATCCTCTTCGGCCACTCTGGGCCGTGTGATCGCGAGGTCCTTGCGAGGACCTCGCGATCACATGGACGGCATAGCCCGCAGGGGGAGTGCCTGTAATGACAGGTACTCCCCCTGCTGCCTGAAATAAATAATGAAAGTTTTAAACAGTGTAAAATTAAATAATATATACTTAGATCATATATATATTTATTATATATATGATCTAAGTATATATATACATAAATACACATACATAGTCTAAGTGTATTTTAATATATATATAATTATAAATATATATTAAAGTCAAAATACACGTACAGTGATATTGATTAAATATATAGAATTTTCATTATATATATATATATATATATATATATATTTATAAATAATATGAAAAATAAATAAATATGTAAATAAGTTAAAAAAAATATATATACTTGATTTCGCTCTTGAGAAACGCGGTTTACCCGCCGAAACGCGCGTCAGGCTTTTTTCTCCGATGTTATTTTTAATTTTGTTATACCTTTAGTGTACTCTTTTTGACAGAGCGTTGCAGTGACTTTGGGGTTGATTGATTTAACACGCTGGGGCGATTACTTAATATGGAGTTATTGTGAGGTTTATCTATCTAGCTTCTACTCTATCTGGACTTACTCTATATTTATATCCATTTCGACTTTATATTCCTCTCTCCGTTCATATTATCTCCCCTATCCTTTCGATTTCCAATACAAGTCTATTATTCTGCACTCTCTGATTTTCTGCAGGGCATAATATATATTGCTTAGATCACTTTTAGCATCAACTCTTTTTGAGTTTTGATTGCTATATGAAATAGCGATTGACACATATTATGTATACTGTAACCCTGCAGTCAATGGGTAGTATTTTGTTATTCATATGAGTCCTTAGGTATTTTGATTTATTTTTCTCAATTTAATTTGGGTTTTTGTCAGTTATAACCTTTAGTGAACTCCTTTTTACAGTTTGTCGATTGGTTAATCATGCTGGGGCGACCATATGGTATGGAGATATTGTGAGACTGATCTATTCAGTCTTGGGGTTCATTTGGAATCATTCTGTTTCTCTCTCCACTTATAGGCCCCCCCCCCTACTAGTCTGTCTTTCCATATAAGTCTATTTAACCTGCAATCTTTGATTTTCTGCCAGGCTTAATATGTATCCAAAGCATCATTTGTAGCATCAACTCTGTTTGAGTCTAAATTGCTACATGCAATAGTGATTGATACATGCTGTCCTCACTGTAGCCTTGCAGTTTAATAGGCAGGATTTACTGTTATATGTACGAGTTCCTAGGTTTTTTCTGATTTAGATTTTTTTGATGTTAAGTCACTATTCTTAATAAAATTTATTTATTTTTCTTAGACGTCTTTTTTTTGGGTGGCATTGAAGGAGAGCAGCCCGGTTTGCTACGGGGCGGTCTTTCCTTCACTTTTTTGTATATTTTGTGCTTTACGCAGGGTTATGCCCGTTTTGCCACCCTTATAACCCGCTTCCGTCTATATTCCCTATTTGGGTTTTCTATCTAGGGAATACTTCTATTTAATATATATATATATATATATATATATATATATATATATATATATATAGATATCAAAATATATGTGGAATGAAATAATATATATCTATATACATAAGTATATACGTATATATCACTATATATATATACCTATATATAAATAGAAATATTTTAAAAAATTATATATATACATATATATATATATATATATATATATATATATATATATATATATATATATATATATATATATATATATATATATATATATATATATATATTTCTACGTATATATTTATGTAATACTTTTTAGGTCATTTTATTAATTACATTTAGCGGGACCTGTCTGACAACCCAGGCCAAAAGTCCAGGGAATTTAATTTGCTAGCACTATATTTAACCCTGTAACTTTCCAAGACACAATAAAACCTGTACATGGGGGGTACTGTTTAACTCGGAAGACTTCGCTGAACACAAATATTTGGCATTTTTTACACACAAATGGCACTTACACGGATGATATTGTTGTGATACGTTTTACTGTTTTGAAACAATAATATTTATGTTCAGCGAAGTCTCCCGAGTATACCCCTCATGTACAGGATTTATGGTGTTTTCAAAAGTTACAGAGTCAAATATAAGGCTTGCGATTCAGTTTTTTCACATTGAAATTCGCCAGGTTGGTTATGTTGCCTTTGAGACCGTACGGTAGCCCAGGAATGAAAATTACCCCCATGATGGCATAGCAGTGGCAATAGTAGACAACCCAAGGTATTGCAAATGGGGTATGTTCAGTCTTTTTTAGTAGCCACTTAGTCACAAACACTGGCCAAAATTGGCGTTCAAATTAGTTTTTTGCATTTTTCACACAAACAAATATTAACACTAACTTTGGCCAGTGTTTGTGACTAAGTGGCTACTAAAAAAGACTGGACATACCCCATTTGCAATACCTTGGGTTGTCTACTTTTGCAAATGGTAAGCCATCATGGGGGTAATTCTTATTCCTGGGCTACCATACGGTCTCAAAGGCAACGTAATCAATCTGGCGAATTTCAGAGTGAAAAAAATGAAAAATTTAACATGCTATATTTGACCCTGTAACTTCCCAAAACACCATAAAACCTGTACATAGGGGGTACTGTTTTACACATGAGACATTGCTGAATACAACAATGTGTATTTTATTGCAGTAAAAGCTAACAGTATTATGATACTCACAGTTAAAATGTCAAGTAGAACTAAAACATTTTTTAAAATTCTTATTTTTTCCCATTTTTTAAAATATTTTATTCATATTAAATTATATTTCATACATAAATATTTGATGTTAAATGAAAGCCCTGTTTCCTCTGAATAAAATAATATATAAGAAGTGTGGACATAATATGAAAGAGGCGAATTACGCCTGAACAGACATATAGCGCAAATTCAAGTTTTTGTTTACGTTTTGTTTTGATCACAACGTGTACGTTTGGCTCAGTCCTTAAGGGGTTAATGAGCATACGTTGTTTGGGGCAAGACTGGTACAGTTTAAGAATTGAAGCAGTTTATATATGTGCTATAGGTATTTTGGTGCATATTCATTGAAATGTATTAACAATGCATGTTAGGTTGCTATATATGCAAGTAATAGTGTCCTGACATTGACCACGACA